GCATTGCACAAGGTCATGGGTTTGATTTAGTGGTAAAACCTATGCAAAAATGCTGAACATCAAATGCAATAAAACTTCTTCAGCATGTGTGTGTGGCAAAGCAATGGAGAAAAACCCAAACAAACAAGTGTCTCATGAGACACATCCTCTACCAGATCAGCTCTTTATTAGCATTAGAAGAAAAAGCAAACACTCCACTGTCTGTCAGCAGTCCAGCAACTAAAGCAACACACACTTTCAGAATCAGAATCAGAATTCTTTCTCACATTTTCCCACTTAGGAAACTACTCCCAAGTCCCTCTCTGACTCGGCTGCTCAAACATCAGCCCAGGCACATGTTCTAAAACAACAATAACATCACCTAATTCCCTACAAATACCGTTGAAGGACATGAACCCGTAAGGTAGGACTGATGTTAGACCTGTGTATCCACTGAGCCATCTAAGGATAGAAAGGTTTACTCCAGACCTGATTTCCATGTCAGGTTCGTATTCAAATCGAATAAGTGCTTAGAAATGACAAACTAAAGACAACATCACCTTGACATTCTAAGGTTAGGTTAATCAAAAAATAAAAATAAAAATAAATAAATAACACTGTGCAAGAACTTTAAGATCATTCTGATCAGTTATCGGCCTACAAGAATGAAATTGCATTGAGAATATTTCACTTTTTCCCCTTGTCTTGGGCACTTGAATCAGGTTTGACTTGCAGCGATGTCCATGAGCGGCTCCATTACAGTCCACCTGGCAGATTGACTGTCAAGTTCACATTCAGCTGGTGGTTCTTCATCTGTCATCTGCTCTCTCTCATACCTTTAGAGAAAAAGGAGGAATTTCTGAACCCTATCATCGGCGGCATGCTGTTACTTACCTGTTACATCATTAGGACATAATTGTGACAAGAAGGTTTTTACCAAAAAAAACACCTCACACACATGGGACATGCAACCCTAAAAAGTATTTGGGCATTTAAGATATACTTAAAAATGTAATTTTATTGCATTCATGTAAAATGTAAAATCTCAAACCAGCACACATTTTCAACATAAACAAGATTATGTTTAGATTATGACGTTATAAACAACAACCAAAGCAATATAATATATATAGAAAAATCTGGGTGTAGAAACTATTTTCATTCAGAAATTGCTTGCAAATTTCACAAACAAAGAAACAGGATAAAAGGCATTGAAAACGTGAAATTCTGAGGTGGGAAAACTAAAATTGTATTTTCTTGTAAATCATACTCCAATAATCTCATTTACAACTTTGAAAAATATTTTTTTACCGCACACTACTGGTCAAAAGTTTGAAATAATTAAGATTGTTTTTGAAACAGGTCTCACATTCACCAAGGCTGAATTTATTTGATCAAAAATACACTTAAAACTGTAATATTGTGGGAAATATTACAATTTAAAATAGCTGTTTTCTGTTTTAATATATTTTAAAATGTAATTTATTCCTGTGATGCAAAGCTGAATTTTCAACTGCCATTACTCCAGTCTTCAGTATCACATGATCCTTCAGAAATCATTCTAATATGCTGATATGGTGCACAATTATTATTGGTGCGCTATTATTAAAAATGGTTCTTATTATTAATGTTGAAGACAGCTTTTGCAGCTTAATACCTTAAAGAACTGCGCAGGGGCCGATCACTGGATGGATCAGGAACCATAAACACCTCCTCATAATCCCCTACAGACTCTACTGAGGAGGCTCATCAGCACCATTGTGGGCAAGCTTGTGCGGGCCACCCGCGACACGGATGGGAGGAGAGACATAAACGAATGCTAGGGTGGGGTGAAACACACCATCACACACACTCTCAAGACATTCAAAGAGTGTTCATTAACACTCCCTGTTTGAACAGATGTCTACCTGACAAGAGTATAACAATTATTATTGGTGCGCTATTATTAAAAATGGTTCTTATTATTAATGTTGAAGACAGCTTTTGCAGCTTAATATGTTGGTAGAAACGGTGATACATTTTCAAGGTTCTTTGATGAATAGAAAGTACAATCAACAGCATTAATTTAAAATAGAAATCTTGTCATTACTGTCACCTTTGATCTGTTTAATGCATCCTTGCTGAATAAAAGTATATATATCTATCTCTATATATACTTTGTGGTATGTGTGTTATATATATTATATTATTTAGATGTATATTTTGCTTCTGTAAATCTGTCTAATCCCTTCTTATTTTTTTATTTCTGGTTTATATACTTACATACATTAGCAATTCATTTTGCACTACATGCTTAATACTTTATATATTATTATTCTTTTTCTTTCTGTTAATACATATGTGCACTATTTGTAAGCAGCCCAGCTGCAATTACTTTGGCAATACAAATGTATAGTTTTTGTCATGCCAATAAAGCACACTTAAATTGAATAGAGAGAGCGAGAGAGAGAGAGAGAGAGGGGTATGTATACATAGATAGTAGTTAATATGATATAGCTCATAAGATATAAGATAAATTACACCTGTGTGAACTTGAGGGCAACTGACTTCATATATCTACTGAAAATGACCTTGACACCAGTTGAATGAAAGCTAAACAAAAAAAAAATAGGTTAGTTCTGAGAAAAAGTGTGGTTTCAGTGTCCAAATACTTTTAGGACCACATTTAACCCTCTTGTCCAGACATTAGCAGGCAGGTAAAGTGAGATCTCCTCCACACTCCTGGCAATTGTTCGGAAACTTGAAGTCAAAGGTCACATGTGCACCTGTGTCTTAGACCAAACACTGAACTTGCCACCAACAGAGATCTTTCAACTCTTACGGCTTAGAGGCGCTGCTCCTTCATTCCCGAGGACACCGGCAGAGGAATTCCACAGTCCACACAGAGGAATTACTTGAAGTCATGTACACTGGAAAAAATCTGGTGGAGGATTTACTTTGAAACAATTTTAACTCTCAGAAATCGCCAGGAAATTTCACAAATAATTACAAAGAAACATTAAGTGACACACTGAATTAAATGCAAAATTTTGAAGTAGAAAGACTGTAATAATATTTTCTTGTAAAATGTACTCCAATAATCACTGATTTTTACAATTAAAAATAAATCAGTCTATGTACTAGATAGCATTTCAGATATTGAGTATTGATTAATGTAATCATCCCAGGAGGTAATTAAGTAACAAGTCTCTGAACTTGGCTATGTACAGTAATGCACTTTAAATGGAAATCTATGATGCAAGTCATTTCAGCATAAATGTAATGCTTAAATACATAAATGTACACTGTTAAAGCAGTTATATCAATTACACAATAATGAATTACATCAATTCTTTATATATTATATTAGTTATTACAATACAATACAATACGTTGACATGTTTCTTGAGTACCAAATCAGCATATTAGAATGATTTTTGAAAGATCATGTGAGACTGAAGACTAGATTAATGATGCTGAAAATTCTGTTTTGCCACCACAGGAATAAAGTACATTTTAAAACATATTCAAATTGAAAACAGTTATTTGAAATTGTAATAATATTTCACAATATTACTGTTTTAATGTATTTTTGATCAAATAAATGAAGCCTTTTCATTTAAAAGAGGCTTCTTCTTCTTCTTCTTCAAAAACAAGACTTCTATAGCTAGTGCATTACTGCAGCCTTTTTTTTTTTTACAAACCAGTCAAAATTAAATCATGTCAACCCAGAACATTCATTTAACTCCAAACTTGAATTAGACTATATGAATAAATAACTGAACTCACACTGACATCAGCTTATGCAAGCCAGGGAAATCCCTGCACTGCTGATTTATTGAAAGCTGAGGAACAAAAAGGAATGGGGCAGACTTGTCGATAAAACTCCTCACATGTTCAACTGCCAGGTGCATTTCAGCTGAAACTCTCTCTCAAAAAAAAGAGTTCAAATTCAGTTAAGAGAAAACCAAAATACATTCCAGTGTCCATCAAGAAATTACTCCAAATAACCAATTCATAGTCACTGAATTACTCAGAAGGACCTCAACAGATTAAATCTGAATCTAAATTTTTAATGACACTCAGGTCATGTGATCTGCATGTCTAAGGCATTGTTGACTGAATAATACTAATGTTGGCCAGAAATGACTGTGTGTCTTCTTAAAGCTGTTATACAGATCTATATGCGGCGTCCCCTAGAGACTGCAAAAATATTTCTACAAGTCATGAAGTGGCAACAATCTCAAAACTTTGGATCAACTGCAGGAATATTTCCCACAACTGCTGAGGAAAAGCCACCGCCAAATACTACAAAAATACCTCTAACATAGATATCTTTCATTATCTCCGAGTGCTATTCAGCCAGTGAAGGCAATAAATTACTGTACAGGTCTACATTCTGTCATAAAGAATGATTTTAATGATGTTCAAAATCCCAAATTTAATGTACAGATGTGTCTTTAATTGTGTGTATTGATTTTGGCTGGTAAAATCTTAAAAAGTAGGGGTCAGGTTTGCTGTTCCAGGTACTGTTTAGAAGAAAGAAGGATTTGGAGAAGTTTAGAAGCTCTAAACCCCTCCCACAAACTTAAAAGACCGCCCAATCTTTAGCATATAACGTCTAAAGAAGCTTCTGACGCCCTCTTGTGGGAGGTGTAATTTGGGTTAAGTGTTAAGTAGGATGTCTTGAATAAAAACTTGAGCCTTCACAGTGAGAACTTAGGTCATGATTATTAGTTGAATTATACAGGAAAGTTTCAGTATTAAATGCCAACTGAAAGGAAGTAAACAGACATGAGTGTTTGGACTCTATATGTGCGTATAATTGATTAAATCAGTCCTTTTGCAGCTCGCGT